ATTGATCAGTCACGCAGTCACGCGAATTTAATCGTTTCCCGATATCACTGCCATGCAAAAAAATATACACTTTCTCGCTCCTGTCCGACATGGTGGATCAAATTATGACATTGTGTGTACAATGGAAAATTTCAAATGAGAGTCTTCAATGCGATTAAACTTTCCCTCGAGTATAGAATATTCGACAAAGTACTGTATACTGACAGTGAGTACTTCGAGAACATAAATCCTAGTATCATTTTATATCTTGTACTCCATTTGATTCGCTTTCTGTGTGGTTATTTATCAATGAAAAATCCGAATTTGGAGAAAATTCCATCGGATCGTGCGTAAATATATATCCGATCGAAGATCGTCGAGAAAACGAGCGACGAAAACAAAGAAAAAAGGCGGCAATCGCAATTCAACTGGCAGCGACCTTACTTGGTCGCCTCAAAGAGCTTCTTTTGTTTGAGCCAGTCTTTCTGGAGCTTCTTGATGGCACTCTTACTGAGGGGTTTGCCTTCCGCGTCATGGGTCGGGACCCCTTGGTCGTCCCACTTGGAGTACGCGGGGTCGGTCTTGAACATGTCCTGCGGTTTAATGTTCATCTTGGCTTTCTTTTCCGCGAGCTGGCGCAGCTGCTCTTCTTTGCGGGCGTTCGTGCTGCCGTCCTTGTCTTCCTTGGCACTGTCTCGCAACGCCACGATTTGGTTGAACACTTTGCGCTTCGACGTCGAGTCTTGGTCGACGACAAAGTACCCCACGCGCTCAAACTGGAACGACGTCGACACGGTGCTGCTTTCGACCGCGACACGATCCACCAGCGCCTTGTCGTACACTGTCTCGCTGTGTTTCGTGTCGACCAACGCTTCCCAGTCGTCGACCGGGCCGAGTTCAGGCACTGTAAACAGGTGCGAGTACACGCGAACTTCGCACGGCGCGGCCGTCGACGGCACCCACGTTAGCACGCCCTTGGGCTTGATGGTGTCGTCCGAGTAGTTGCACGTCCCGACCACTTGCGTCACTTTGCCCTACTCGCGTCATTTGGTTGAGCAAAACGACGACAGCCGTACCGAGCCATCGACATCGACACGCGTGACGGTGAAGATCGGGCCGTACTTCAAGCGGACCACCTTGGTCGGCGCCGCACCAAAAAAGTCGGCGGTATCGACGGCACGTACGTCCGATCTAGTGCCAACAGAGCGTCGTTGAGGTACACAATGCGAGGGCCCACCAGCATGCCCCATCACGCCATTGCAAGCCATGCGGCTGGACTACCTTGTACGAAATGGCAAAGGTTCCCAGCTCAAATGATGTCCACGCCACTCAGTACATGGGAAGAGAAATATTCATATATCATACAAAATCCAAAATATCCACAACTGCGCACACACGCGTACCGGTCCAAAAACAGTGTTTGCGTGAGTTGGATCGGGTGGCTTGAGTGGCGGCCGTTTGCGATGTCCTTGTCTTGGGGGTAGTCGGGCACATGGCACGTGAACGGCTGGAAGTTGTCGACGACGACCTAATGCCAACCATGACCAGCCTGCTCCATCACATCGCGAGCGGCGCCTTCTGAACAAACCGTCTTACCGGGACGGGGTCCAGCACTGCCATCGCTCGCTTCGATGAATCGCCAAGCTGGGCGCGGGCAACAGCATACAGTCGTTCAATTTGAATCGTGGATTGAACGCGGGTGACACCAATGTCCTTGCAAAACGCGTTGAGAATCGGCGCGGAAAAGCCGCGGCGACGGAGGCCGTTCAGTGTGGCGAGGCGGGGGTCGTCCCATCCGCGGACGTGGCCGTGGGTAACCAACTTGAGCAGCTTGCGCTTTGACAGCACCGTGTACGTGATGTTCAGGCGCGCAAATTCGTACACTGTCGGCTTGTACAGGTCGAGTTGGTCGAGGAGCCAGTAGTACGACTCGCGACGGGTCTCAAATTCGAGTGTGCAAATCGAGTAATCGATGTGCTCCAGCGCATCCACGATGCAGTGCGTGTAGTCGTACGTGGGGTAGATGCACCACTTGTCGCCAATGTGTGGATGCGGCACAAACTTGATGCGGTACGCGACAAAGTCCCACATGTTTGGGTTGGGCGATTCGAGTTGCATCTTCAACCGGAGCGACGCCGCGCCTTCCGCGTACTCGCCGCGGCGCATGCGCTCAAACTGCGCCAGGTTTTCAGCGACAGATCGGTTGCGATATGGCGACGCGGCGGCCGCCAACACGTCCTCGGTCAACACAAGTCCTTCAGCCGACGCACGTCCGTGGAGGTCGCGCAAGATGGTTCGACTCGCTTCGATCTCGGCCTTGGATTGGTGGCACACGTACGCGCGTCCCTTTTGGATTAACTCCAAAGCAAACGCGTACAACTGGTCAAAGTACTCGGAACTGTACGTGGTTTTCCACGGCTTCCAGCCCAACCAGTCGACGTTCGCGCGAATCGCTTGAATGTACTCTTGGCTCTCCGCTTCAGGGTTCGTGTCATCATAACGGAAGATCGTACGGCGCTTGTCCTCGGGCACACCCAACTTGTCAAACGCTTGGCTGAAGTTCATCGACATCGACTTGGCATGACCGACGTGGAGGTACCCGTTCGGCTCGGGCGGAAAGCGCGTAACAACGTACCCCTCATTGACTTCTTTGTGCTTGGCCTCCCATGCTTCCGAGTTCTTCATCACCTCCAGCACACGCGCTTGAAGCGTCGCAGCTCCCTCAGCAGTTGCTCCAGCCATGGTGATCGGCTGCGGGCTCCACAAAAACGTTTTGGTGTGGCTGGCGTAAATGCAGCATCCGGATAAAGCGAAGGTTTATCTGGATATGAGTTGGGCCTATTATGTTTGTCCCCCACAACATGCACAACCACGACCTTCAGAGCGCAGGAAGAGCTCAGTGACGTCGAGGCAAGCAATACACAGAGCTCTCTACGCCTTTGCCGCATGGAGGACGAAGCGCTCTTCATGGTTTTCGAGATGGCTCGGATCTGTGTATGTGAGTGACGCACCTCCTCATATACACAAGAAATTTCCTTTGGACGGTGCTCGTTTACAGGATATGCGTCATGCGATTCGTTTGCAAATGGCTTGATATAGCAGTGTGCACAGAAAGGGACCGTGGACTGCACTACTGTAAGGACCTGCACAACGAGACGAAGCCACGAACATGGACTGCCGCCGAGGTGTTCGTGTGGCCACTGTCCACTTCGCCCGCTGTCGTCGCAAACTCGGCCATGCTTTCCGATTCATGGACATCCATTATTTCGGAAGCTCTTCATGAATGTCACAACATGCAGGTGTCCATTATTCTCGGTGTTCAGCGTGCCACGTCATGTCGTCGAAAATTAAACAATATATAGAATTAGATTTCCGATAGTACTAATTTATGAAGGTTATTCGTTCATTCAGTTGTTCAGGCAATAAAGGAGCCAACCACCACAACGATGTGCGCCATGGAGGATGCAGATGGTGACGACTTGCGGAGGCTCCTGCGGCAATCGGTCGACGCCTTAAAGGCAACGCAGCTACCATCGCAACCTGCGATAGCACAACCATACCTTGCTTCATTCGCTGCCATTGCCTTGGATCAGCGGCGACCACCATTCGAAGATGGCTGTGCAACGACATTGCGCGCAATTCTGCGACGGCATGCACCGGACATCGTGGTCCGTGGCCATGTGCTTGCATCGGGACACCAAGTTCAGATCCAATCCATTGGATTCCATCGTGGAAAGTACGAAGGCGCGGCTTTGAATGTGGCCGCGATGCCGTTCTACCCGCTCGATCTATCACAGTACAACCAACGAAACATGGGCATGTGATGAACAAACGGCATAGGCACATGCCTGTTTCCCCGCAATCTGTATTGGACTTCTCTGTCCGAATCGATACTCCGACACATGTACTCTTCACCCCAATCTCCATTGTCGTTGACGTGAACATAGGACGTTGAAGTCGCTCCCTTGGACACACCCCTTCCATCGACTATTTGGGATGCTTTGGAGGTGCGTCGATGTGTGTGTTTTTTCATTTTCCCGAATTGCTTACGCCTTCAACAGGATTGGGCCCCAGGGTGCTCCTTCGGTGGGTTTACTTTCACACCGACTCGGTCATCTCGCTTCTCCCCAGCTCCTGCCCCTTCGATCAACCATCTCTTGAAGCGCGATTTTACCGCCACGAATATGTTCGCCGTGGATGGCATGCTCTTTACCTACAGCGCGCCGTCTGTGACGTCATATATCGTGCGGCCAAGGCTACACGAAGACGAAACTCTGTCGTATCGTGCCTTGAGCAAGCAACAGGTCAAGAAGAGCTCCATACCACTCCTTCACTTGGTCGTCGTCAATCATCAACTCTACGGAACACTCTTGAGCGTAGATGCAGCAGTGGGCTGCCGACAAACGATCCCAAGCCGCCGCGTTGCGGCAAAAGGGCAAGTGCGACGAAGCCATCACAGCGTACACGGCCGCACTTGAAATGGACCAAGAAGATGTAGAGAGCTTTGTGGGTCGTGGCGCATTGTACCTCGAGTTGAAGCGCACGGACGTTGCAAGGCGGGACATGGAGTCTGCGCTCAAGTTGCAGCCATCGCACTCAGGGGCCCTCGAGTTGCAGCAAAACGTGCACGCGGCGGTGGCGGCATCCATGGAGGTAGCTCCGCGGCAAGAACTGTTGCCAAGCGGAAAGGACTCGGACCGGCTACGCGCACTTTTAGAAATGGACATCAGGCAGTCCTCCAAGGACAAAAAAAAAGACCACAAAAAAGAACACAAGAAAAAAGAAAAAAAGAAACACAAAAAGAGAAGTCGTAGCCGGTCCTCGGATCGTAATGCACGGAGAAAACGGTAAAAAAAATTGGCATTGTCAAATTTGCGCGCGAAGGCTACATCGAACATGGCGGGGGGGTGGCGGCGATATCTATATCGTTCGAGCGGCGAGTGTGTGGCGAGGGCTTCACGCATGAGGATCTAGAGGTCCAGAGGCTCGAGGATGACGAGCAGACAGCAATGTCCCGACCAGTAGAGCCCCGGCACCGAGACCAGTCGGCGACGTCAACAACGTTCGACTCGTCAACGCAGCGGCCACGATCGACCACAGCACACACAGCCAAAACGAAACGAGGAACCCGTTTGCAGCATCCACCATGCGTTGTGTCTGCATGTCGCGTCGTTCCAACTGCGCGGCGTTCACTGACTTGGGAATAGACGATGTCACACTCTCCACTTTGGCCATTGGCGGCGTACTGTCCGTGTCACTGTGATGGTCGCCGATTTCTCCGGACGATGACGCCAATGGAGACCGCTCAGTTGGACTGCCTTGTGGAATGTCTCCGTGGTCGCTGGAACTGGAAAACCTGTGCCCTTCGTCGTTTGATGTTCCGCCTTTCACTTCGTGGCATCCATATGGACAAAGGTGCGGCATTGATGACGGACGGCCAAGTTTATGGGATGTGGATGACGCAGACGACGGAATTGACATGAGCGAGTTGCTCTTTGCCAGGGACGAATGCAACCCTGGGGGACCGTTTGATGTGGACACCCCCTTGTCGTCCTTTGTGCCTGTACATTCCTTGCAGATACGACGAGAGCACTGCGGGCACTTGCGTCGCTTGGAAAAGATGCCGATGGTTCCGTCGCACCGGGAGCAAGTCGGCATCGTGATGAGTGCGATGACCGTGCAACTACGGATAACCTGCCTCGACTCATCCGGATATTTGCTTCTCCGACAATTGTCAAGTACAGTACGAGAACGAGGACATTTCCAATGTGTGAAATTCACGCAGAGCAGGCAAAGCTTTTCCCAAGAAGTCTCATTTTGGCAGTCACGGGTAGGTCCATCCACTGATAGCATCGCTCTATCTCTGAAACTGCGCGCAGAATGCATTGACATTCTCCCCGGATGGCGATTTTTGCTCCGATATCCTTGACAATGGCACTAGGGGCCGTCGACGTATCCAACCCGACATCACACATGGATCCGTGCACGACACAGAGTCAAACGACTAGCGAGCACGACAAGACGGCGCGCAAGGTTTGCACATGAGCTATAGCTTATGCTTCATGGATTGCTCGCGCAGCTCTAAATACTTCTCGTACTCGGCAACGACGGTGGCATCCGGGGGTGGAAGTTGACGGCCATACGACTTTTCGAGTTCTGACATGGAGAACTTGTTGAAGTACTCGTTGGCGCTGCGCTCACAGGCGTCGCAGAACGTGATGCGCCCGCCGCAATGATGACATCCTTGGAGCACATGAACAAGACTCATGTACGTCGTGGCCGAGTTTGTAATAGACGGCGACAGCTTGCGCAGGAGTTTCTGGTACGACGAATTGTCTACGCGACAGATCACGTCTATCGACAGGCCACACCACGACACAAAACCAATGTACCTTGGAGGTTGCGCATCGAATCCTTGCCGCCGTCTTTCTGGAGGAATTTCTGCGGCGTTGGTGTGGCAAGGACGTGACTGTTTGTCGGCGACGGGTTTACGTTCAAGTGTCGGGTGCTTTTGCTGTGAAGATGGGCGTACTCCAAGTAGCATTGCATTTGAATTTGCAGTCCGCGCTGGAATTTGGTCGGATTCGGTCGGCCGCCACCTTTGGTAAGCTTTCCAGTCCCGTCACTGGATGCGTCCGACCCTTTCGTGATGCTGCTGTTGCTGCTTGTAGATGTTTTCCGATTTGCCACATAGGCTGCACGCATGGAACGCCCTTATATGCTTTGTTTGGAAACGATGTTCTTGGCGTACCTTTCATTTCAAGCAATAGGGTATCACTCGCCGCTTGGAATGGCCGCGACGTCGCCGGTTTCCTTCGCTCCAACGTTCATGGCTCGACGACGACGTTCGTTGCTCCGCGTACCGTTTGGGTTTTGCGACAGGTGTGGTCGGGATATCGCAGGGATGTGGAATCTCTCGTGCGGATGAAGGGCGATAACTGTGTCCAAGGGGAGTTGTCTGTGCTGAGCCTGGTGGTGCCGTGGACGGCTTGTTGACGGGGGACAGTGGTCGCAGCAACGGCGTCGATGCCCTGTGAATTGGCTACACCCCAGCCGCTGGTGTTTACCCAAGTGGAGGTAGCAGTTGCATGGATGACCTCACCTGCTTTCGATTGACGGATGTCTTGTTGGTAGCTTGACTAGAGTGAAGCCGACGAGAAGACAACGGTTGTTGCTGCGGAATCGGGTGTAAGTTGACTTTGTGCGGCGAAAACGACGTGTGCAGCTCGGCCTCATACGCTGCTTCTGTCTGACGAAACAACTTGCGCACTTGCACGGCCACGTGCATCTCCGTTCCCATTGAGGTGCGTGCGATGATCGAGATGACGAAGTGTGCCCAAATATAGCCGCAACAACGAATGACGTCGTAAAATGACAACGAATGACGGCGCCAAGATACATACAACCATATCACCCTCCATGTCAAACGAAACCAAGTCCGCGAACGACCGGATTCTTTCCTTTATCGACCCAACATTCATTTCCACGGCATGCCCATCAACCATGTCCTGCTCAGCTCCATCGATGGTTTGTTCGTGCTCTATCCTGGCCAAATCCAGCCCTCCTATCGCGCGACACTCGACTGCGACAATGTGAAGCATGTTTTTGTCGAAGGATGCCCCGCTCCTCCGAGATCTAGGCATGGCTATCCTCCACACCGTCGATGCACGTCAACTCCAGTTCAAAACGGTGCGAACTGCGGCGTACGAAATGAAACGGTTTTGAAACCGGAACCCCAAGCAACAACAGTTTCCAGGCTAACGAGCAAAGGTGTCCATGCCAGGAGGTGGCGACGGTGATACCGGCCTTGTAGCCCTGGAATTGCCTCTGAACCAAGCAGTTCATCCCAGCGATATTGCCACCGACAACGATATTACGTCCAAGCCTCCACCGAGTGACGGGTTAGCTTCCTACGCCATGTTTGTAAAGTGGGTGCTGCTGTCTCCAACGTCCACGGTCGAAGCCGAGGGGTCTTCCAAGTGGCCGTCGGATCTCGACGCATTAGAAGAACCAGCGCTTGCTGAATCAACGTCTCCAACGTTTGCCACGACCACCGACGCCAAGATGGCGCGAGCGTCCGTTGAAGCGGACAACGAAGCTCTGGTTGACACTTTGTTCGACCTGGAGCGCGAAATCGAGGCGTTTGATGCTGTGTTGGCGCAGCTCGAGCATGATAAAGCCATGGACCAAGGCATGGCATCGGACAAATCTATCTTGCTATGATGTCGTGTTGTCGTGTGGTCAAAATGAATGGCGTGCCCGTGGCTGACGTGGGTGTGTGTGCTTTTGGCAGGGCAACTCGAGCAATGCGAACGTCACCTCCTCGAGCGTTTAAAAGAGCGAGACGACACAGTTGCCGAGCAGTTTGCGTTGGAGCAGCAGATTGCCCAAGTCGAGCGACTCGGTGTGTCCGACGAGATCGTGGCCGCTACAATGCAAACGTCGTCCATCTCGTCCACGATTCTGCGGCGAGTACAATGCAATGCCTGCAACGACACTTGATGTTCTTTCAACGTAGGGCATGACCAAACTGAACCTACCATTTGGTTGGAACTCCAAGAACCAGTCGACGACTGCGCCCCAATCAGGAGAGCTCGATGTGGATCTCTACCATGACACAACGCAAGTTCACAGAGACATTGAGCTGTACGAGAAGCGACTGGTACGTTGAGCAGTTGGCGGTGGAAATAACTCAGTGCCAGCAAGTCCTTTGACCTCCTGATGTCTGCATCCAGGCCCATGAAAAACTGTCGCTGGCGGAAGCCAAGTCCGACTTGGACACACAAGTGTTTAGCAATAGGTACATGGCTCGACATGGGCGTTCCAACTTTCCTCGGCAGGCTGTTGGCGAAGAAAGTGGCCAAGCTACAAGAAAGCCTCAACGCATTTCTAGCCACCCAAGTGGAAGCAAAGGACGATCTCGACCACATGCAAGCAGCATATTCAGGCACTCCATCGTCATGTCGTCTTGTGCGCGACAACTCATGTCGATGGCAACGTAGCGACGACAGCCAAGCTCAAGATGGTCCCGAGGATCGCCACGACCATTCAACGATCCAACATTTCGCCAAAGACTCCTCAAGCGCGTGCATCCACATAACAAGACACGTTGATCGAGTTCCATGCGCCACTCCCTGGAACTTTTCTTGGCACCGAACGCACCGCTGCTGTATGAAATGCCACAGCTTCTGCTGCTATGTTTACAACCCACACCGCCTTGTTGCAACGTGGCTGAGAAGGATTGTTGCGATCGTAGCACTTGGAGGTGGGCGTTACGACCGCGACATCAAGCTTCCTGCATTGGACGTCGTGGTGCTTTGGGTAGTTTCAAGGCAGAGCGAATCCCACTAGTCTTCTTCGTACGACAGCATCTACCATCCACAAAAATCAAAGCATGACACTGCCATGCCAAGACATACGCGATGTTTGGACCGCTGCTGGTAGCGTGCCAAGTCTGTGTGAATCGTCGGCGACAGCGGCTGGATGGGAACATGGACACCTTCTCGTCCCTACCCAAGAAGAGCACGTCCATTGGAGTTGCCACGTCAGATTCAAGCGTACTGTGATCCATGGGTGGGCCAACAGGTCGGCCATCGAGTATCGCTTGACAGGATCGAGGACGAGGAGGTGGCGAATGAGGTCTTTGGCCGATCCGGACAACCCAACCCACGCCTACCCACGATGAGCCATCACTTGGGTGGCGACATTCGAACGCACGGGGTCGTCGAACGTGAACGAGCACGCCTTGATATGTGCAATCATTTCATTGTCCGACCGGCTGCCCATCGGGTCGAACGGGTGAAACCCGCACAGCCTACGAAAACAATACGTGTGAGAACGGTTGATGACAAGGCGCCACACGAACGACGTACAAAATGTACAAGATCGTGCCAATGCTCCACGAGTCGACCTTGGCGTCGTAGCCGAAGGAAACGCCCGAGCCTGAGATCATCTCTGGCGCTGTCCATTCGGTGACCACGATTTGAGCAAGACGACGACATGGCTTGGCAAAGAAATCGCGGCGTACCAGAGTACCCCCACGTGCCGCATTTTGTCTTCATCGTGGTCGTGTTCAGTTTGGCGAGGCCAAAATCGGCAATTTTCACGACAGCGTCGTTGTCGTCGGGGGTGCTGAGCAGGATGTTCTCGGGCTTGAGGTCGCGATGGACGATTCCGTTTTCATGCAAGTACGCGACGGCCTCGGCCAAGCTTTTGACGTGGCGGACGCAATCCATCTCCGAGTACGGTCCCTTTGCCGCCAGTCGTTCAAACAGCTCCCCGCTACACCACGACCCATGCATGGCGTGAAATGCCGTTGGCAGGCGAACGACTGTCGTTCGATGCGATGGCGTACCCCGTGCACAGCTCCATCACCAACAACACTTCACTGGGCGATTCAAACACATCGAGCAACGTGACAATGTTGGGATGGGTGCGGATTCGCTGAAGCGCGGCGACCTCCGACTGCACATCGGCCACAACAATGGTCAAATAGGAAGAATTGGGGCACAACGATGGGAACTTGGCCTACCTTGAGCCGCGCATCGTCTGTGAGCACGCGCTTGATCTTTTTGACCGCGACGTCCTGGTTTGTTTTGCGGCACCGCCCTCGCCACACGGTAGCATAATGTCCTCTGGCGGCACATGCATCGGGAATAGAAAATGAAGGTCGCGATGCTCACCTCCCCAATGGGGTACGTTCCAATTCGTACTCGTCGTCGACTCGTCGCCTGCCGCGCCCTGTCGCCACGATTCGAGTTGGCTTTACATGGAAATAGCCATGCTGGGAAGCGTACCTCTTGTCAGATCGTGGCCGACTACATGCACTGGAGATGCATCCACTACGTTCTTGTCGTCGTCGGCGACGAGTGCGGCATTGGCGGCTTGTGTGAACTCCACGTCGAACGAGTCGTTGGACAAGAGGTCGGGTAGACTCGTGGGCGTCTTCTCCGTGCTACTGGTACTCGTGCACGCAGTGGACGCCGCTTTGTCGTGTGCCGTCGTGGATTTCGCTTCCCTCACGTCCACGCATTGCGACGCCGACGACTTGGCGTTGCCCATCCGCGGGGGCGTCGGCCGTTTTTTGAATGCCGCGGCCGCGATCGCGACCTCGTCTGTGATTGGGCAACGGTGGATTTCCAGACTAATTCCAAGGAAATGTAGTCGACTGTGTACATACACTATATTTGGTCCAAGTCATCAATCCGATAATGCATGGCACTGCACAGGACACTCAAAAGCGCGACGCCACCAGCGACACTCGCACTTGCAGCGCTCCATGCCCTCTTCCACGAGGTCCCACGTCAATCGTCGAGTCATGGAGGCGTTCAGTTGTTCTTTTATACATTCCACGGAATTTCGCGTTGCGCGGAGGTGTTACCGATCGACGTTGCCTGGTTGATGCACAGCAGGCATTGCTCGTGCTGTAGATGTCGCGCATTGTGTGTGGCAAATGCGCGAAGCAAAGGCGAAACAACGCTGCCTTCACGCAATCAAAGATCGTTGCTGAGCTTTGTTCTTCTTTTGCCGGTATTTCTCAATTTCGTCCAACGAGTGGAAATATTTCTCCCGATCGTCCATTTTGAACGCTCGTTTTTTATTCGAAATCGTCGGACCGAGGCATGATTGGCTAGAATTCAAATGTGCATGTAAGTCCCAGCGGGTTGTAGTCCTCTCCATTCCAGAATTTCAGCGGCCCCCAGCAACCACCGGCTGCACACGCCGTCTACGACGCCACACCCAGTGCGACAGCCACCGAGCGGTATGACTCAGCGACACTCACAATCTGTACTCATGACACCCGATCCCTTATGCTATGCATGCCGCATCCTCCAGCTCATGAGACTTTTAGCCAATCATACCGCGGTGGACGATTTAGAATAAAAAATGAATAAAAAATGTCTCACGAACGGTCAACTTGGACGATCGCGAGAAAAATTTCCACTCGTTTTCGATCTTGAGAAATACTTCGAGGTACTCTTTTTTGCGGGTCCTACTTTTCACACTATATACAACATATTACACTATTTGGATAATCTCATACCATTCGGTTGTTTGCGGGGCCCCTGGTCGAAGCACGTGCCACGTCATTTCAACCAGCTCATGAGCGCGACCACCTCGCTCGACGTGTGCGGGAGCTGCTCGCTGGCAGGAATCCATGCATTCAAGACATCGACGCGGAAATTTGGTCCCTTGGTGTGCACGACCTATTTTTGTCTGGAGTTATCTCAACGACATATTCCGCTCGATGCAGGTGACGCCGCTGCCGGGCGCGGCCCTAAGCGGGCCCCGGTCGCATCGGCAGCGCCCAAGTGGGTCATCCGCTCGTATCGGTCCTTCGAGGTCGCGCGGAGCGTCCCTCAACCGGCCCAACAGACTGTCCAGCGTTCGAGACGGGGGCGGCGGCCACCGTGACTCGGCCGTGACGCGCTTCTCCATGATCATACGAAGCCACAATGCCAACATGAAGATCCGCCACTCGCTCTCCGCTCCATCGGTGCGTGCATTTGTCACTGAAGGGGCTGACCATCGCCCACCACGAACAACACCCTCTGTCGTCGACGGTAGATTCGCACGCCGATCTTGATCCTGCTCGTGTTCATGAACATTGTGTCGGCCATCTACTTGGGTCTGTGGGGGCTATTCTTCTTGACGGCGCATCCCATCGTGATCACAACGCTCAAGTTGTTTGCGCCTGTTCCGACTGGAATCATCTACATGGGGCTGTGCGTGTGGCATTGCGTCGACATTGGTACGTCGTCCGATCGAAGCACGTGCTCCCGCAGACCTTGTCGGTCTTGAGCCGTGGACTTGCGAGCGATTCTTGAAACGTTGTGCGATGGATGCCACTGATGCCGATCGCCGTCGTGGCTAGGAATGATCGTGTTCGGGACGCATCGACTGCACCAAGTTCACCAAGCGCCGCGCCTTGTCGCGTCGTTTCATCTCAAGTGCGTCGACTCGATTCGAATACGGGTACGTGGCATGTCCCCACGCGCCGTTTGGCACGCGTCGTGCTGGTTTGTCGTCGATCCAGCGCCTTGCGATTCTTTCATACGTCACAAAATCCGTCGTAGTGCGTCCGGCGATTGCTGCTTTGGTTTGCCAAGCACGAGATTATCCGCCTCGGTCGGCATGCCTTGGTGGTGGTCGTGCTCTCGATTCATGCCCACCACGTCAGCCACAGCGTCGTCGACGACTGGTTCGCATTCACGTACACGTTGTTGGTGGCGTTCTACTGCTTTGTCACACCGTCTTGTCTGCTGAGCTCGCATCCGTTCATCAAACGGTGCGGTTCTCTGCTGTTTTTTGACGTGGCAGCGTCGCTAACGAGTCTGTAGCTACGTGACGCTCTTGAACGATGCGTTTTTCCACTTTTTGCTCAGCACTGGCCTCAGCTCGTTTCTGTTTTTTCCGGGCGTGTACGCGTACGCGACGTCGCTGACGCTGCCGTGGATGCACCATTACTACCACGACCTTGTCCTGACGTACCGCGTGCTCGTGTCGACGTCGGTGGGGGACCTCGCCCTCTTTGTGTTCATCTTTGTGACCAACCACTTGACTCTGCACCACTTGACGCATGTCGCGCTGTCCGCGTCGTCCGTCGCGCAGCTCCAATCGATGCTGGTACAGAAGAATGGCACGGTCACAAATTTGAATGCCACCAACCACCACACAGACACGGTGCGCAAGATCGTCGACAACGCGCCGCCGCCCGAACGCGAGCCAAACGCGCCACAGCCGCCGATGCGCCAAGCGATGCCCCAGCCCGGGCCGCCGCTCCGTCCCGCGAGTTCGAGGCTGTCCATGTTTCAAGGGGTTGCGAGCGCGCGCCGACTCACCGGCCGCGCTATCTTGACGTTTCGCGAGCAACAGACCAACCTTCCGTTCAAGGTGTTTTTCGTCATCAACGTGGTGTGGGGCGTCGTGCTGGTCGTGGCGGCATGTTCCGGCTTGTGGCATGCCCCGTGCGCCCCTGGATGCCTTGCGCACACGTCGCCGTGGTTTGCCGTCCATGAGTGCACGTGCAAGGCATTTGAACTTCACTGTGTCAAGTTGCAACTTGAGAACGCCTCGACAACGCAGATCGAGCGCGTGCTGCTCGATCTTGACGACAACCTCTTTTCGCTGCACGTCGTCCACTGTGATATGCTCCCCCACGGACTGTCGTCAGTGGTCTTGGATCGATTTCGCGCGCTGTTTCTCTTACGTATCGAGTTTACGCCGATCGGGGCATGGAGCCATGGCACGTTGCCGCCGACCCTCCAAGTTCTCGAAGTCCGCTACTGCAATTTGACCGAGGCACGGTTGCTCTTCATGATGGAGGGAGCGGCGGACAGTCATGGCACGGCGTGCTGCCGACGCCTTGCCACACAAAGCTCCTTGTGTCGTGCACGAAAGACTTGACGGTGCATGTGCCTAGGTACCTCACATCCTGGACGTTGCCCATTCGGACAACTTGCCATCGCTTGTGTCGCTGTCGCTGGACGATACGACCATTTCGTCCGTCCCCGCCGCCATGGCATTCTGGCCAGACTTGATGCATGTACGCCACACCGTCGCGCCGAATGCTGTGGACATCGCTCGTGTTTAGGTACGCATCACGCATGCCCAACTCACGGCGATCCCGCCACCTCTTGTGTTGAACCCGCGCATTTCCATCTTGGACCTCAAGGCAAATGCTATCTCGACCGTCGAAGCATGGCCGCCTCACGTGCAATATGTCGACCTGTCCAATAATGGCATTTCGTCCGTGCCGCCCGCGGTCGTCGACGCCTACTTGGCATCCCCGTTTTTCCTGCTCTTGGTATCGAACCCGCTGGTCGAGTTGGATCCGTTCTTGTTGGCGACGTGCGTTCTCTTGGCGCCGCTCCGCGTCGACATCGCAGACACCCCGCTGTGCTCTCGCCTCGGTATGCCTTTCCAAGTGGCGACGTCTACCTCACGCGCTCTGTAGCGCCGATGCTCCCCAACGACTTGGCCAGCGTCGTCTGCTACGCCAAGTGTGCCCCGCAGTGCCCACTCCACGCTCTCGGCGACCACGTCGCCGACATGCCGTGCAATGTCGAAAGCTGTAACTACGACATGGGCGATTTCAACACGACATGGCACGATTAGTTTCGTCATCACGTGTGCAGCACACTTGACGATCGTGTGAGACCCGTCCGCTTCGCATGTGCGCAAAGCCACCATGGCCCCGTCCCTGTCCGAAATGCACGCTGTCGTTCGCCCATCCACAACTTTCATTGCTCTCGGCCTCTACAGGCCATGGCGTGGTCCCATTCAACACAGACTGCGACCGCAGCACATCAAATGGCATTGTCTTCGGCGGCGAAAACGACGCATCAACACGGTAGAGCTAGTACTGCGCGAATTCGCGCGTGAGTTACCGCATGAAATGGCAAAGCGGACAGAACACGGGATGCTATGCAATCGAGTTGGACTTAGTTCCCAGGAAAACACCCCACTCGATCCTGTCAGTTGTTGTCCGTCCACACGATGTGGTCGGAACGCGCGGTCTCCTGGTGTCGCTTCGGCATGCAAGTTGGCAGCGTGCGAGCGATACGTACATATGCAGATCCGTGTCTAGAGATCTCCGATGGAGACTGGAGCAGGAAGCAGTTGGCTGTGGCGTTGTCAATGATTGACAAGGTCGGTTCGATCGGCACGTTCATGAAAGGACCGAGTGCTGTGTGGCATGTCCATGCCAGAATTAGTGCAAATCCAGACCCATGGAATGCACCTGCGAGGAATGGTTTCGATACGACGCGGGTTCCAAGCCCGCCACACCACCGTGACGCGACCACACTGCAAGACCCTTCCAGGATAACCCAGCTCATCCCCCTGCATCATTCGAAGCTGCCGACGCTGTCGACGGCGATATATATCTCGTCGAGAATCATTGCTTTGTAGTCCCATCGCATTTTCGCGACTTTTCGAAACGTCGCCGATGATATCATAAACTAGCCAATCAGAGATGACTTGAAGTCGAGGAGACCAATCAAATTGCACGATGGTTTGCCAAGATCCATGGCACAACTAGCAAGGGCTTCCCTGACTTGAAGAACATATGGGTAAAACATTTCCCCTACAAACACCTGAATGGCCACATCATCCCTCGATATAGTGACCATCAAGTCAGGTCGGGGTATACACCCCCTTGACAACATATCGCGTTTTGTGCCGCCATGTTGGCAAGTCCGCTCCATGCGACGACTGCCGCCACCGCGGGCGGCAAAGGCAGCCACCACGCACGCAACTCCCATGCACATCAGCAGCATCGACGGGCGACGTCCCACATGGCAAGCCCTGCCGCGGAAGTCGTGGTTGACGTCATCCAAGTGTCGGCGATCTCGTTCCGTAAGGTCGTGCAATCGTCGATGCTTCCGCAACATGGACTTCGGTGCAAATTCCACCTGTCCGTGGGAGGGAAATCGGTCGGGGTCGTTGGCTCGACCGCTTCGACAGCAGGACAGACAAACGAGTTGATGTGGGGGGGCGCTGCCGACGGCCGAACAGTTATGCACTTGAACGTGTCGCCGTCGATGGGCCTCTCGCTTGGAATTCAGGTCCTGTGCGGAAGTTTGGTCGTCGCGACTGCTACCGTACCGCTTCGCGAGTTGGAGGTATGTTGTCACCACACAGCTCCATCGCCCGTCTTCATCCTGACTTGGTCATGCTACAGCGCCCTCCGCACAGGACGTCGGGGTGGTACGATTTGAACCCCACCGGTCGCATCGAGCTCTCGTTTGTATACAACGCTACCCCGACGTCAGGGGTACGCTTGTCCATCTCATCCGCCACCTCCCTTTCAACGCACACCCGCCAGCTCACGGACAAGTGCAACGATGACGATGTGAACTTGAATGGGGAGAGCATTGTGGAAGATGGCATGAACGGGCATTCGGCGAGCTCAAGTTCGGACGGGGAAAACGATCACGAATCTGACAATGACAGCGATGTCTACCCAAGTCATGACAGCGATGGGGAGCCGTCCCCGGAGAAACAAGACCACCGCCATCATGCAAGCTGCGCTTCGCCATTCGGTGACCCGTATCGCATGAAAGGTTTCGATGTGCAGTCGAGCCAAACAAACAATGCCGAGCCCGCCGACACGTCGACGATGGTGCGCCCGCTGCCCCCATCAACCCTGGACGACCTCGACCATTTGTACGTCATGGCGGCCATGGCGATGTCGAATCTAACGCTGCAATGGCTCTAGGCTGGACGCGACGATCCAAGCCAACTCGTGGCGCCCTCCAAGTAGCAAGCACCAAACCCGGCGGCACTTTCATGGACGGCCGCACGGTCCCTCGACGCCACCCCAGCCTACCGGCAAACGCAGCGACTTTGAAGACCTTTTTCGATATGGCATTGCGTCGACAACGAGTGCGATGCCGCGGCACCAGCAAGCCCCCGCGATCCATCCCTATGGCAAGGGCACTGCCAGCGACAAGGACATCGCGGTGTCCGTTTTGCCGGCAACCGACACCACCACCGCCAGTCGCAACATGCACCGCCGGCGCATCGTTGACGAGGACGTCGTCGCGGCCAGTGCGAACCCCCTCGCTGTGCCACCGCCTCCACATCCCATTGTTCTCTTCCCGCCGCAGACACCCGGCGCTGTATCTGCATCGCATCCCAAGATCACCACGGACAACGCTGTGCAGCCCCCCACATCGCTCGCAGACCAGTCTCAAGTGCTCGCCGATCGCATGTTTCACTGGACTCAACGGATCGCGCAGCTTGAAAGGAAAGCTGCCGCCACGGACCAAGGTACAACTGACCCAAGCGAGGGGGTGTTCGCGAGCGTTCATGCTGTCGTTCCCATGAGGTTCAAGTCTTTTTTGCCTGTTGACATCATTCGTAGCGGCGGCGCAGCACACCACGTCGACCGTATGGACCAAGGCGCGGCTGGGCGACACTCCCACGTCCGAATTGATTCGAGAGCGCCGCCAATCCTGTCCGACCGCCTCCCAACCACTGCATGATCTCCCGTTGTCGCTGACTCGGTACGGTGGATGCTCAAGGCCGGATGGCGACCGACCGACTCGTTGCGGCGGACTGCTTGCTCCCATTTGATTCTAACTAGTCGGCGACCTCGAAACTCTAGAGTCGATCGCTCCAATGGGATCCATCGCTCGCGCCACGAGGGTCAGGTGGGTCTCGGCCGCCATCCTCACGTCGACCCTCTCTCGATTCCAACCTCCTCCTCGGTTCGTAACTCGTTCGTGTTTGGTATTTGCTCTAGAACAACGATCCAGAAGGACTCGATGAACCAACGAGTGGTTTCCCTCGAGATCGACCGCTTCGTCGGGCCCGAAGTGCGTCCATGCGCGGCTTCCACGACCTGTTCGACGCCATTCAGATCGTCGCGCACCAAAGTCGGCAGGACTCGCCATCGGAGGCGTCCGTTGCCCCAAGTTTAAGACTTGCACCGCCGCGGACGTCGTCGGTCGCACCGCGCGTCGAACTCGGCCGTCGAGTCGTCCTTGGGGGCACTCCTGGTACACGTTGATTCATTTGTGCAACGAGAAACCCCTCACGACATGGGTCAGGCACGGTGCGGTACATCGGAGCGACGCAGTTTGCCCGTGGAATATGGGTCGGCATCGAGTTGAATCACCCCCATGGCAAGAACGACGGGACCGTCCAAGGCGTGGCGTATTTCCGCTGCCCCCGCGACCACGGCATTTTTGTGCAAGCCGACCGCCTCGACATCACGTCCACCTGAAGCGATGGTGGACGATCCCGTCGGTGTGGCTATTGCCGTAATTCAGATCTGCGCACCTATGCCCCAGACAGCGTGGGATGGTGCTGGATGGCTAGCAAACCGCGCAGAGTTGACGCAATACACCCCGCTCCACCACATCCACTGGGGCCTCGCGCGACGTTGCCTCTGCTCGAACATTGGCACAGGTCGTCGGATGAAAGCAGAACTAGCCAAGGTAGCATGCTTTTCGATCGGCTCCACGCTGCTTCCAGCTTGCCTTGACCTGCGACGACAGGATTCCAAACACTCAAGTGTCCCTGGAGTTTATGTTTCGACTATGGTTGCCGCTACTTGATAGTCGCGCGTCGACCACAGTCCGGGATCGAGTTGTCGGTGGTGCCTTGCACCCACACTTGGGTGTTGAAAGGCGCCACGTCATGCACACTCGACCGGGCGTACTCGCACTGGGCCATGGGCCACCACGTCTAATGGGTTGCGGCAGCTTGTCATGCAGTTGGAGCTCCCGATCGCATTGCTGCAGCCTGTACGGCAGCTCGCGACGGCTGCGACCACTGAATCGTCAGGTTCCGTCGCGGCTTCTTCGCCGTCATGGTGTCAAGGGGAATCGGGTCGATGCCAGTAGGGAACAGCGGTCGCTTCCTCGAGTACATGGACGTAGCTGCGTCCGCCACCAGCGCTCGAACATCAACATGCCGCAGCATCGCCTGGACGAGGTCATGCCAAGGCAGGGCAGCCGCTGGTGCCGCGGCCGCGGGGTTTGTCCTTGGTGCCAAGGCAGGTAGCTCCGGCAAGAACCCGTATGCCTTGCACCGTCCTTCGTCATTGCCACTCTCGGCGGTGGAAAAATACCGCGTGATAGCGGCTTTGCACTGGTCGATGCTGTAATATCCGTCTGGTGGCAGCCTGTTGAAGATGCCGCCAAGAACGCGGACGTGCCTTGCTTTGAAATAAGTCGCATTCAGATTGAATGAGTCGACCTAGCAGCTACGTCAGAGATGTGGTCGGATGCGCCAACTTACGGCATCACCGACCCCCTTTTTCCCGACCAGGATGACGGAAATTGGCTCGAGCGCGGCAGCTACGTCGGCGTTCGACACGCCACAAATGGAACCAACCGCAGGATACCCAACACCGTCAACGAGCACGATGCGCTTGCCAGTGGAAATGGCATCGACGGCACGCACGATGTCGCGGAGGAGTCCGTGCGACGCTTGGACCGGGTCCGGCTGGTCCAGGAATGCCCGAGTGAATCCCGAGTAGAATACAACTGGTCCGATCGGTTGGGCAGCAATTCCTGGGATGCATTAGGTTCCGTGATGGTACCGATTTTGTACCATAGTAGGCGCAGAAGTCGGCGACGAGCTGCGGTTCTTCGCACTGTGTCGCGGGTTTGATGTATGCGAGTTCGCTGGGATGGTACCTGTTGCATTTGGCGAATTCTTCATTAAAGCACTTCAAGTATTTGGATGCGTACCCAAGTTGCAGGAGCGCGCCTAGAAGGCCAAGGCAAACGGTAGATTTCCCGACCTGCGATCGATCCCCGCCAATAAATAGCCGAAGGGGGGCGTTCGTGGATGGGAGCACATCTCGGGATGCAATTCCTGGCGGTATTGGTGAATTGGTGAATGTGACGTGATCTCGCAGCAGTGGAAGCAGCGCATCCACGGACGTGACGGTTGTGGGTGGCATCGAGTTCGATGCAACGTGGATGCGAACGGACGAGACGTCCTCTATCACACTAAGCTGCACGTCGTCATGCACGGCAGCGAGTCCCTCAAGCACACCCAAAACCTTCTGGAACTCTGGATCGGCGGCGCTGCCAAACACCTGGACTTTCATCGACACGATGTCAGCGCGTCCCGAGCGAAAATGGAGAAATCCTGCTATTTGTAGCACCCAATCCAAAGATTCCATGACCCCGTTATCCGGTAATCCGGATAAAGCGGTCGCAACGGCATTCGCACTCGACGGCCCAAATGTCCATGTGGCGGCGTGCGGCGCCGCGGTGGGCAGAGCCCTATAGGAAGGTCATCTCTTCACGCGAATGTGGGATGTGCCCGTGTGGATTTGTATAGGAACTGGTTTGCCTGGTTGTTGAACAGATGGATTCGTTTCCGGGCGATGGGGTAGGCAACCTTGGTCTGCCCCTCGCTGTGTCATGTAGTAGCAACATCAGTGCGTGGTCGAGAGTCCATGGGATGCACGTGCACGTGAAGTATTCCAGCCAGCACTAGAATTGACGCTAGCTGACGAATGCAAGTCAGCGACACATCAAGTGGCTTGATCACCTTGGAACGAAGAGGATGCAACGCTTGGGCCACATCGTTCCGATGGAACCAAATTTCGCGCGAATGTGACCGGTGGAATGCTGCACGCGTGCGGTTTGGCCAGACGCAGCCTGAACAAGCAATGCCAAACGTAAAGCCATTGCATGGAATCGTTCTTTCGGGGAATATCGACCTCTGCTGCGCAGCACGAGTAAGGAGACGTAAAAGCAAATCTCCTTTTGCTCTTGGATCGTATTCAACGTCGACGTGCCGCTCAAGTGCTGCCATTCCGGAGAGAATGCGCTCATGCACGCAATGCGGTTGCACAACAGTTACCTGGCCGTTATTTTGCCTCAGCGCCCCAGTCCAGCCGTGTCCTAGTGCGGCGTCGCCGTGGCGAGTTGAGGCGCAGTATGGCCTTCTACACAGGACGTGGCGATGGCGACGTGCACGGGAGTGCCCAAAGCATAAGCAGTCGTACTCGCATTCCTCGCGAGAGCTCCACCGCAGTCCCATGGGGCCATCCCACTCCACAGGTGCTCGCACCCCAGGTCCACCACCAGGCATCTCTTGTCCGGCAAGGCACCACTCGCCTCGTCAAGTCTGTTCGTCGGGTCATCGAAGAGCGCCGCATGTCGCCAGACACAGTGCGCACTGCATTACGACATCGGTTGTCCAGTGCGCGCCTCGTCGCGGCCGTGCTGGATTTTCGAGCGAACAACATTGCAGAAAAAGAAATCCGAGCCGTGCTCGCCATCCTCAAAGTGCCCGTCCTGTTGGTCCTGGTGACAATCAACTTACTTTCTGGTACACCACCCCTCCAAGCGTCGTGGATGATGGTGGTAGTTGTGTAGGGCTGTACTTGTTGCTATGGTCGCTGCTCCTCTTCAGCATGAACGATGTCAGTTCTCGTCAGTACGGCATCAAGCGAAAGCTGTCGGGCGTGGTGTTTCTAACCATGTCCATTTTGCATTTCCACGAACTCGTCACCGTATGTGGCCATGATCGACGGCGGCGGCGGCGGCGGCGCATCCAACCCACCTCGACTACCGCAGTCGCATCACCCGTACGTTCTCGTTTCCTGTGTACATTCCGCTTCGATCGTTGCAATGGTGATTTCTCCAGCGCCTGGATCCATTCTCCTGGTCATGATTCCCGCCGAGGGCTAAACTGGACCGTTCTTGCAAAGGTTAACGTTGGCTTCATGTCCAAAACCACCCACGCATTCCAGTCGGTGGTCAGCAATGCCCACCACGTCCTGCCGACGGACGCCGTCATGATGCGGCTGGCAAATTGTAAGTTGATATCATGCCAACCTGGGCAGTCAACTTGAATCTCGGGCTAAGTTTGGCCGTCAACGTGTCTACAGATGGGGCCGTCGGACGCCGCGCGATCGCGTGCTTTGGCCACTGCCGCCGCAAGCTCATGCGATCGAACCACAAGTACGACGCGGTGCACATGGCCCGGCACGTTTTGGTCACGGTGACGACGTCGCTCCATGCCCATCACATGTCGCTTGTACGAACTTGTCGGTGGTGCTGCCACGTCATGTACTTCAATCTAGGTGGTCCCAGCGCCCGCCACGTCGTTCTTGTATGCGATGTTCGTCGCGCTCAACTGCAGCTGTACACCGGTGCTGTGCGCATCCAAGAACGCGTTCATCAAGATGTACTTGACGTTGCTTCTCGACGCGATGTTTCATTTTGTGCTGTCCGTGGGGTTTCCGCTCGTTGTGTTTTGGCCCACGTACTTGCACTACATGCGGTCGCCGGTCACGACCAGTCTCGTCAACACGACCTACGACTCGATCGCGCAAAACTTGTTGATCGACCACCTCCAAACGTTCAACACGGTGCTGGAATGCGCCACCGCCATCGTCCTGCACGTATCGAACCACTTGAGTGTGCATTACTTGGCCAAAATGGCGCTCACGACCGATAAGCATCGCGGCCACCGGGCATCGTCGACGAAACAATCGGCACGGCCCGCCAGGTCGAATCCAGATCACCAACACGGTCGAATGTCCCCACTCGCGTCGGCAATGCCGGTATCTTCTCCACTGGTCAACGATCGCAGCACGATTGCTTCCATCCACGTTCGACCGGCGAAGTCGGCAACCCTGCATGGCACTCGAAACGAATCGTCAGCAATCGGACCATGCGATCGTTCACCGCGCCTTTTCCGTTGGCTCGCCACGTTTTTTTGGAGCCGTCGAACGCGTGACCAAACGCCGCCACCCACGTTGGACGAGCCGAAACAGCCCCACCACTTTGGTTTCCACCGCGTCTTCGTGCTAGGTATGCCTCGGCCTCCGACTCGTTTACTGCCGTGATCGACTTTTATTTTGGTCTGCTTGCGTTTTTCGTGTTCCAAGACGACGATGGCCTCACAGCGTGACACTTGTGGCTCTGCCCTAGTGAGCTCGGTGTGGGCCGCTACGTTGGTCGTGGGGGCGAGCAGCGCATTCGTGTATACCACGTGCCCGGTGGGGTGCAGCCATCGTGTGTCCGAGTGGTTCCGCTTTGATTGCTCGTGCCGGGATTTCACGTTGACGTGCACGCCGCACATGACCGCCACCGACGTCGCGACGATTCTCAACGCCGTCGACGCCAACCTGTTTCTGCTCTCGATTGTTCGCTGCAACCTTCCAACGGGTCTACCCCCCGGCGTGATCGGGCGGTTCCACGGGCTCTACCTCTTGTCGTTGGACACGGTGAACTTGACGACGTGGGACGAAGCGCCGTCCGAGTTGACGTCGAATTTGCAGTTTTTGCGGATCCGTCGCGGCCGCTTTCGTCAGGTGCGTCGTAAAATTGTGACATGAATCGATGGTCCCCACGCGATGTATCCGTGTGGATGACGCCTCTGTCGAGCAGATGCCGCGGCTATTCGAGTCGTTGCCGGCCACGTTGATCACCGTGGCAATCGAAGCGACGCCCCTTGCAACGATTCCGCTCGGCTGGACGTCGCTGCTCCAACTCGAAGTGTGGGGTGGCAACCTCACGACGTTTCCATCGCACGTGACGTCCGCCATGGCGATCAGTCTGTTCAACAACTCGATTCGCGAGATTCCCGCCGCGCTCCCTCGGAATTTGCAGCGCCTCGACTTGAGGTCGTCGCTGCCAGCGATCGCCAAGATCGACGTGCTCATGACTTGCGCACTCGTAGGTACAACAACGTTGATGCGATTCCGCCGGCGCTGTTTGCCCCTCCAAGCAAATTGGCCCTGGTCGACCTGTCCTATAACCGCTTCACGACCGTCCCCGACGTCCTGCTCCCATTTGTGTACAACTTGACGTTGGGTGTAGCAGGCACACCACTGTGCGCTACGTGGGTCGCCGCTGCCAACCACTCGGCAACTCTGCGGTACGTTCGCCACCATTCTCGTGTTTCATTGACGTGTGTGGTGGCAGCAGCAGCGCCGCACGGCCGCCCCGCTTGAGCGAAATTTGCTTTACAACATGTGCGTCGGGATGCGAGCCAGACGTGATCGGCGACTCGTACTGTGACGCAGCATGCTACAACGAAACGTGTGGCTTTGACAAGGGCGACTGCGATGTCGACCCGATCGTGTAGCTGCAGTCGTCGCAAGCACGTAGCCAAGCAGTACTACATGTTCATTAGCGGTCGGAATCGAGTACCATGGCCTCCAAACAAGCGTTCGAATGGACCCCACGCGCCGCATTGCTGCTCATGGCGCCGACTGGGTCGTCTACCACAGTGGACGGTGCCTATGGATTGTGTTTTAACCCATGATGCAATTCGTTTCACCGGTGCAAAGCGTGGGTCGTCCGTCAAGTGCGTACCGGTTGAGGAGCCGCGATGGCTGCAACAGTCGGATTATTCTCGGTCGAGGCCAGCGCTGTCTCATCCTTGGCAGCGTGCACGATTGCCTTGGGCTCTTTTTTTGCACTCTGTTTCGGTTTTGGAGCGTCGCAGCGATCGACCCAAGGCGCTGCCCAGCCTTTGACACGCAACCGATCGTGGACGTGTGGTCGAGTAAGCTCCTATCGATTCAACGCCACGTCAGCGCGAGTACAACAAGCACGACGATGATCGGCGCATTGAAATCCACGCTGGCAAGCGCAGGTCGAGCACCTCGCGCCGACCGGTCGCCGCAGCACCAGACACACTAGAGAATTTCTTCTCTCCTGGACCGAATTCGACCACTTGAACGAGACACACACACACACGGACGCCGCTCGAGCACGCGCAGCCACACACCCGCCACGTACCATGTCGTGGGAAATATGGCTGTGGCGGACGTAAATGCGCCGATGCGAGTGTTCAATATCCATGGCACCACACCGATTGTTCGCAAACGAGTTGGTGTGGAGCATGGCCATTTGGACCCCACTCAGCATGCGAATGCCGTAGCGCGCATTCGATTGAAACGAATTTTTTCTCGCAATGCCGGCTCCGTGTAACATTGTGAGGCCGCATCGGCCATGACAGGAGAGCAGGCATGCCAGCAGCGTCACAAACCCGCCTTCCACCAACACGCCCGATCTATCTGATGGTCAGCCCTTGATTCCAAGGCACGTCATGATGACTTTTCACAACAAGACAAGCTTTGCCGAACCAAGAACCCGACTGCAAAGACACTGACTGGTTCTCGCCACACTCAACCATGCACACTCTGACACGTACCCGATGGCGCCGGTAATCTCGACGTCGACAAACGTTCCCGTGCCCCCTTGGATAACCACACCAACGTCGCCGCCAACGATGCGGCTATCTGTGACGGTGCATGCACTCCCCGGCATCAACGTCAAAACAACACTGCGCCATGGTTTCAAGACGGTCGTGCCCAGAGACCGCTGGGACGATGCCGTGGATTTCTGCAGCGTGAGGTTCGCGATTTCGCCGGCTTTCGCGTGCCACACCAGTCCAAACGCAGTCGAGTCGGTGGTATCGTGCTCGTCGTCGTCGAATTCTAGCGTACAAGTGCTCCCTACTCGCACAACCCCCATGAGTTGCTCCGCCCATCTGGCATCATCAAAACACGACCATCGCCGTGCAGGTCCACTGCCCTAAAGATAATGGGCGGCTTACCAGACGTGGATGGACCCACGAGGCGCACGGTGTGGTAAATATGCAGACTGGCTGCGATCTGATGCACGCCACTGCCAAACTGGACGGTCTCTCCCGTTTGCAAGGTGGCGAGCATCGCCTGCACGTCCGAAGCCGCGTCGGTCGTGAGAATGCGCTTGTAAAACGACACGTGCCGAGCGGCGACAGTCCACTGCTTGTTGACGCAACTCGAGATTCTGCAGCATCATGGCATGTGGTCAGCGTTCCAAGACAGGTTGATCTTGGCATGTACCTGTCGACGGGTCTGGCGAACCCCAAGATGTGTAGCAGCACCGCCAACGACAACCCGCCATAGCCCACTTGCGTCGCATGCGCATGCTCTTCGTTTTGAATCAAGACGCGCGGACGATCCCATACCGCTTCATGCGTGTCCGTGTTGTAGTAGAACGGTAAATTCGATCGAACGCACGTCTTTTGCTGCAGGCAAACCATGAGCAGGTTCGACCACGACCATCTACCGTACCATCCACGCAACGCCCGTTAGCGCCCGTCGTCGCTTTTCGCTCTTGACGTGGCTGCGTTCATGCATGTAAATGAGCTTTTGCGTGGACAGGTCGATGCTGTCAGCTACAAACCCAGCAACATGAGTCGCCATGCAGGGACTGGCCCTTCCATGCAGCGCATACGACTTGAAATCGCAACATACACAGCCGAAACATATTTACTGCCGCAACATGTTGGGGGTACGACGAACCTGCAACAATCAACTCGCCTTCCTGAATCGCAACTTCCTCGTCCACCACCTTGTTCGCTTCAATGCGCTCCAATTCGATTTCTTCCTCGGCGTAATCGACATCAGGTGTCGGGATGTACAAAAACAGCGGGTCGGTTTTCGACCGATACGTCATGGCGTAGCGATCGATCGGTCGCAGAAGCGACATTGTGTCGCCGGACGTGTCAAGGAGGTTCGTGTCTGCGATGGAAGATGGACCATCGTTTCCACTCAAACCCACGTCGTCGTCAAAGGTTTCATCCTGTTCCTTTTCAAGGAGCTGTTCTTGCTTGACGCCTTTCATCGCAGCCACATCTTCTTGATCTTCGCACTGCGCCATCGCATCTTCGATCGTTGACACGTCCAACGTGGCATCGCCCGCGTCGTCGTCTTCCACGTCTGTCGTCGTCCCAAGCAAATCGCGTAAATTCGACTTGGTAAAGTACTCGGTCGTAAACTGGCCTTCGGACAATACCAAAAAATCCAACTGCCGCTTCTGCTGCGCCTTTTTCAAAATGTTTTCCTCGACCGTGTGCTCCGACACCATTCTGTAAATATGAACGTCCCGTGTCTGCCCAATACGATGCGCACGATCTTGCGCCTGCGCGTCCATGGCCGGATTCCAGTCGCTGTCGTAAAAGATCACCTGAATGAAAAATCACGCGTGAGCCATGCCACGTCGACCAAACACAACCATAAACACACAAATCCTTGAGTGGGTAAATGTATCTGCGAGTAATGAATTGACTGCAGCGACATCACCACAGTGTGTGCAAATCATCGTTAAAATCCAAAACGAATACCATCACACGTCCTTCGCCAATTGTCGGATAGATACACCCAACTATACCAACACGGCCTACTTTGGGTATACCACCACTTCAACCCATCACGAACCAGACGTGCTCGTGTTTCCAAAAGTTGTTGCACGACGGAAAGCAACACTGGCGTCGAGGGAGATAAACCCAAAAACAACATCCCTTCAAATGTATCCGTGTTCCAGTTCAAAATGGTCGAATTCATGTCGTGCATCCCTTTTGGCCAGAGAAAAACCATACAAAACATTTGAGTTTCCTGCAAGAATCAACGCTGTACGTACGAAATTCAAATTTCATGTCAGCATAAATCAATTTCGTGTGCTTGTCAAAACAATCTCCACCAAATGAGGGAATCGATTCCTCCCAACGCTAGGTTCAAAATTCGAATCGGAGACAAACGAGGGAAAATATAGTGTGACGCACCGTGTCGGCCCCTGTCAAGTTGATCCCGAGACCACCGCTTCGCGTCGACAGGATGAAGCAAAATACCTGCGCGAGAGCAGACTCTAAACACTACCGCAGACTTTTGTGGTCAAACCTTGGAATCTCCGTTGAATTTGTCCATCAATCGCTGCCGCTGTTCGACGGGAGTCGACCCGTCCAAACGAAAGTACGTGTGTCTAGGCGTATGCCACGTCAATACGTGCCAAAATGACCAAAATTTTCCAGTGCACGTTTCGTGTATTTGATGCATAAGAGTCGATAGGGACTACCACGTACCCATGCACATTGAGAAAGATCTCGAGGATGTTCAGCATGGAGCTCATTTGCGAGAAGATCAAGCACCGATGACCATCTCGTTTTAAATCGCGGAGTAAACGGTCGAGCTGCTGCAACTTGCCGCAGTCAAATTGAATGAGGCGCTTGTCCGGAAAAAACAAGTGTTGGCGCTGAGTGATCGGGTGGAGCGCCGTCCAAACCGGGTCGAATTTTTCATGGAGCTACAGCCGAGAACTTTCATCTTGAGGGAGAATTGCTCCAAGCGCACCTGGTTGTCCAAGTCGTTCCAGTGAAGCCGATCTTGTACACGTCCTGCGCTCAATTTGGACCCGATGATAACGTTAGGCAAAGTTGAGCGAGCTTTGTGCACAAAACACAGCACTTTGAGCATCATTTCAAGCATGTTTTCCAACCGCGTCTTGGGCGACGACACCATCGATGCCAACGCGTCACTCGTGCGGTGTTGCCAACGAGATCGGCCCTCCTTACCATGGACTTCCATGGCCAGCGACACAAAAATCTACAAAAAATCAGCGCGTCTTACATCCCGATTCACACCAACGCAGCCATCTTCATGCAGCTCACGCACGAAGGACGAATGGGGTCGTTTTTCGCTGGTCGGACTGTCAGAGATGAAATTTGAGCAAGAACCAGCGAAAGATGCAAATATCAATCATGAAAAGGTAACTCTGTCACCGTTTACACCCAGTCATCGTCACTCAATAAACGTACTGGCATCGTGGTGGCGTGCAGAAGTTCTTGAGACAGGAATGGCGTCTCAAGGCAGCGCCAGTAGTTGATCCACGCATTCGATCTAGCTTTGGCATGTCTTGATGCGTGCTGCATCGCGAGTTGTTGCTTGAGAAAGGCTGCAATCATGGGGTGCTGCAAGAGAAAGTCGTCTGGATAAGTGTCCTCTTCGCCTTCGGATGTATGTGTCATCGACACGTCGTCGATAAAGACTTGGATCGACGGCGCCAACGCTTGCCGCCGACGTGACGCTTCTGTGGACGTGACAATGCCATGTGGATGAAAATTGAGCACGCGATGCGCGGGTAAGCGGAACGTCGACATCGTGAACGGTATGTGCACTTGCAACGGGGGCATGTCAAACGGCGACATGATCGGGCGCGACTCAAACAAGTCGGGGTGGTTGCACACTTTGCGCAACTGCATCAACACGTTCATCATGCCCATAAAATTGCCCCCCGTGAGCGCCTTCCGCGTCGATGACCGCGCCATAAAGTCTTCGTACAGGAACCGTTGTCGTTTCGAGAGCGAGCACATGACGATGTGTTCAAATTTCCCTGGCTAGAACAACGACGGCGTCAGAGGATTAGCCACATTCACATTTTGCATCTCCACTGCATTCAATAAATTGCATCAATGGCAAAGATGTCGACATCGTCGCGTGCGTCCCGGAAAGAGCGTCATGGGCAAATCCCAACGAAGGAACAGCCAGCTCAACACATTATCCAATGCACGAAATCGGCTCAACGATATTGGAGGTACTCGGTGGCATGCATCAAAGCAGTGGATGGTCACCGCAACCCAAATGCCTTGGGCATCGAAAGAACCAAATACATGAAACCCATACGCCTGGGCCAACAATCGAGGGATGTACCATTTGTTTTGCAACATCCTTCTTCAACCGCCGCAGGACAAACGGTCGAATGATATTGTGCAATCGAGTAATGAGCTGTTCGTTCACGGCGGCTTCCCCTTCCACCTACACGCGCAACGTCAACGGATCAAACATCGGGCAGCACGACATCGTATCGTCGTCCACGAACGATGTACCATGGCATTCAAGGGGTTGTTGAACCAATGGCTAAACTGAGCGCGCGATCGAAACAGATGCGGCATCAAAAAGTGCATGAGCGCCCAGAGCTCCATCAAGTTGTTTTGCAATGGGGTCCCTACGCACACCAACACAAGACTTCACTTTAGTTGGGGAGAACCTCTTCGTTCCAACCCGTCGGTCGACCACGTATGCAAGTCGTTGTGAGTCGCACCGAGCGCTGTAAGCGAGGACGCTACCCTTACCTGTGAGCAGGAGCCGGCGCTGCGTGTTGAATGTCAATAAGGTTTGCCATCGCTGGGACTTCCAGTTTTTGATGTTGTGGGCTTCGTCTAAGATCATATAATACCATTTTTTTCGCTTGAAACACGGCGCGTCCGCCACGACAAGTTGGTACGATGTAATGCACACTTGAAATGCATTCACTTTGGACCATCCGAGCCTACGCACACAAGAGTCGGTGGCACCACGAGATCGACTGCAGGGTCCAGTCGTTACCGCAATTCTTTGCGCCGCTTCGCACTGCCATAGTACGTCATGATTTTAAATCCCGGGCACCACCGTTTGAATTCCATTTCCCAGTTTAAAATGCACGATGTTGGCACCACGACCAAATGCGGTCCCCACGTCCTGACCGCACAACCATTTAGTTAGCCGCGTCCATTTGAAACTCAGGGGCAAAAACACACGTTGGATGAAAGACTCGGCCATGGCAAACACGATGGCGTACCCTTCGGTCGCCAACGACGCCAGCATCGATATGGTCTGGATCGTCTTGCCCAACCCCATTTCATCGGCCAGAATTCCGTTCATTCGATTTCGTGCCAACGACAGGAGCCACCCCACACCTGTCATTGTCCATGGTTGTGAGCCACCATGGCATAGACGAGTCGATTTGAAACCAGACGAACACACGACAATTCAATCGACCACATGGACAAATGGACCCTTCACAGCGCGACAAACTGGATGTCGTTCTCCCTTTGAACCGAGCACGCCATGTAAACAACGTACCTGTCGCTTGGTACGCTCGCAATTGCAATGTATGGCGCAACAGAAATGGCCGAACAAGACCCACTCGCGACCACACGTCGTCGGTATCTGTATTGCTGCTTCCAGTCCTTGAAATGGACCGGCCATGGGAGGCGTTGTCAGGGCTCTGGAGGCCGCTGGAGCACCTGGCCTTGCCGTGTTCTGGTGTCGAGTTGCCGGCATTGCTGGACCTGCCGTCTTGAATCGCATCATCGTCTGATTCAATTTCGATGTCTTCTCGTTCCTCTGCGTCCTCGTCGATGCTTGACGTCGTCCCAAAGTACTTTGCGCGAAGTTGTTCAATAGACATGGAGCTTTCTTCATTCAGCATTGCTATTTCGTGGTCAATCTCGGCTTTGGATTGCAACCGTTCCGCCGCTTCGATCGACATCTCGTCGTCAACAGCGTCTTCGTCGCTGCACTCAAAGGCCGGGTCGTCGTCGTCAGCACCTTCCATCGAGTCTTGTTGCGAGATCTCATACTCGACCTCTTCTTCCGCCGCCATCGCCGCATACTTGGCTCGAAGTGCTTCAATGGACATGGTGCTCTCTTCGTTCAGCAGCGCGACTTCCATATCCACATCGTCCTTGGACTGGGCTCGCTCCTCCTCTTCAATCGTCGTCTCGTCATCATCTGCATCGTCCTCGTCCATCTCAAAGTCTTCGTCCGAAGCATTGCCTGCGACATCAGGTTCCGTTGGACTCTGTACCGCGCTCCCTTGCTCTTCGTGAACCACAATGGCAGTGTTCACGGGAAGGACTACTGTCTCAACACTGGCGGACTCGTTTTGATGCAATTCACTGTGACGGATTTCCACATCCAGATCTCCATCTTCGCCATCGCTACGCATGGCATTCCGTGCTTCGTCCTCCACTGACACGTCGTCGTCTTGCAGAATCGCGGCGTACTGGGCCCGCAACGCGTCAATCGACATGGTGCTTTCTCGACGCAAGTGTGCCACTTCGAAATCCACGTCGGCTTTGGACTGCAATTGTTCCTCAGCAGCAATTGTCGTCTCGTCATCCATGGCGTCTTCCTCGTCATCCATTTCAAAGTCTTCATCCGAGTCGATTGCTTCGACGCGACGTGCATCCGCTTCCAACGATGCGATGGGCTGGTCATCGTTTCCAGACTCAAACGTCGTGGCCAGCGCAGCTGCGTACTTTTCAGTCTGCTGGAGCAAAAACTGTAGCTGACTTTCCATCAATGCTTTTTGCTTCTCTTCTTCTGTAGTCTTGACCTCATGCGCGACGAGCTTGTCCACTTTTAACCAGAATTTCTTGACGTCCCGACCGATCTTCGCAGCGAACCGCTTGCGCGCTTGCTCTTCCTGCTGCTGGGTCCGCACGTTTGCCGTTGCTTTCTTGTTGTGATAGCCCGCCACAGATAGACTGAGCGTCTTGGCTTTGCGGTGCCGCCACTTGCGTTCTTGAGCAAAGTCGGTCGACATCCATTGCATCTCTTGAAGCAGAAAATCCCAATGACGGAAGGTAGCAGTGGACGCCGTAGACGTGTCGATAGAAGGCGACGGAGTCGCTGACCATAATGGCAGAGTTACCGCGGCCGCGCTGGGAGTTGATGACGTCTGACTGTTGCGTCGTGACAACGATGCTGTCGGTGGAGGGGGTGTTGCCTCGGCACCTGAGTCCCCAAGCACCGTGTACCGCCGCAAATCAGTCAATAGTCGTTGCTTCTCCTGTTTCAATGCTTCTACCTCGTCATTGTCGGCTACTGGTTCCGTATCGTTGACATCCAAGGTCGAATCGTCCACTTGACCAGGAGCTTTTTTCCGCTTGTTCGTCGGCTTCAGGCCGAGATTGGACTCCGATCGAGTTCGCTTGCCACGAGCGAGAGTCTTAACTCCTTTCCTCTCCTTCTTTGGTGGCCGTGCATGTGCATATTCGACCGAATCAGCTGCCGACGCCGTGGAATCATCGGCCATCGCTTGAGGCCCCAAACTTTTGCACCAACGCGGGACAAGTTATCCGGAAAACATTCGTATCCGGCACACCCAAGATTTGCCCACAACAGCAAAACCTCGTTGAGTTCATGGTTTGGTTAGTGTCGAGCCATGCAAAATGGACAAACGACACCATTCAATTGGCCATCATGGATGGACCCCTTTCCTAGTGCTCCTGCCAAGGCATAGCATGAAAATAGAGTTTCCATACGTGAAACTTAGTCTCTGTCGTCGTCGTTCTTTTCTCATGCCATCCTGTCAATGGGGAATGCTTGGAATTAAAAGCGTTTTATCCGTATATTGCTCTCTGTATGCGGATGCGAGACGAGATCCATATTGCCATTTTCTCTCCAAGATGAACATGCTCACGTCCGCCGCGCAGTCGGTGCTGTATGCATTCACGACGTGTGTGGATGCCCGGTCTTCGCGTCGATTGCGCGCTGAGTCCATCGAGACGGAGGCACCCTTTCTCGAGATGAAAGAGAAGTCAACAAAGTCCAACTTCGATGCCCCCAGCACACTGGTCTTGTCCACGCCTGTGGAAAAGTACGTACGTATGGTGCAAGCCGGGATAACCATGGACAAAGTGAAGCTCAAGATGAGCATGGAAGGTGTCGACCCCCAGCTTCTTGACTATGCTGCACAGGCTGCTCCAAATAAGTCATTGTATGACCCGCACCAGTCCCAGCAGCACCTTCCCGTCATGTCGGTGTAGCCTGCATGCATTTCCCGATTGTAATGAATTACGCCTTGGTTATGGATTAGTATATCAATATTGTCTTTGCGTGCGAGGAAGCTCGTCGAAGCAAGCCCACCGAAGCGCCTTACTAAAGAAGGCCGAGGACACGAAACTTGCCCGCTAAATGGTACTCACGTGTCATCAGCTGCAAGCTCTCTCCAAACGCGTACGCTGTCGCTACGCGGCTGACGCAGCCACGTACCTTTCTCCTCTGTTCATATGACTGTGCACGGGCCATGCCGTCGCATGTTCTCCTGCCGAGCTGCCTAGAGTTGGGACGTCTGCGGCGGTTTCGCGTGATCGAAGCTTGAAGTAATCGCATTGGATAAAAAGATGTGATTAAAGCTGAATCGATGGATGTGATTGGTCCATTCCTACAGCATCTCGCCGAGGACATGGACGGCGTGGTTGCACTCCCGCGGCGGCGCCGACAATTCTCATCATGGCCGCAACATGCAGAGGCCGCCGCCACATTCATGGGTCCGTTGGATATGATACTTGATTTCGTTATAAATTAGGTTTGTCGGTTTGTACTATAATCTAACACCAGCCGTCGTCCTCTTGGACGTCAGAGTCCGTCTCGGGGTACTCGACTTCTTTGCATAGATGGTCAATGTCGCTCAACGTGAAGCACACATCTCCTTTGCTCAACACGCTGTTCATGACGTCGACCAACGGTTGGAGGTTCCCTCGCGCGACCGGTACTTGTCCGCTAGACGGTTTGGACGAGTCGTTGGTGGCTTGGTTGTCGGCGACATCGCTTTCTTCCGACGCGGTCGATTCGTTCGACAAGCGCGAGTTGCACGATTCACGCTCCTTGCGGCAACCGTCGGTCTCTTCCACAGCAGGATCCTCTTGGTTGTCGCACGCGTTCCAGTCGAAATGACCGAGCCGCCGCCACATCGAAATGTCGTTTGCGCTCAAGACAAACACTTCTGCACACGGGCTGCCGCGGTAATTCAAGTACGTCAGCGCCTTCGTGCAGAATCCCATGAGCTTGGTATGTGCCGGTCGTCTGTCATGGGCTGCAAACCCCTCCGATACGCGGATCACGAGCTCGTCCATCGTTTCCATCGGTTCAAACTCGTAGACGCAAAATGCGTCATCGCAGAACGAGACGTGGGCGTCGTCAGGAAGGTCCAGGAAATCAATCTCTTCTGCGATGGACTCCAGGAACGAATCGTTGCTAGTGGTAATGGTCTCTCGCATGGACGTCGGGGTACTGGCGCCATCGATCGAGCTGGATTTGGTCATAAGTTGTACGCTAGTCTTTCCGACGTCGAACTTGGGCACTGTCGACCGGATCCAGCTCAACCGTCGCTTGAGGGATTGCTGCACTTTGGACAAGTCCCAAAACGCAGTCGTCGATTTCTCTCTGTCAAAGGAGATCGATCGCTGTATCCGATGGGGTGGCGATGGTGGCGTGGGGGAATGGAAGAGTGGCGTGGCGCAGACAGGCGAATCCATCACAATACCTTCGGGCAGCGGGTCCTGTGGATGGTAGTCGGGGTAAAATTCCCACTCATGCGGGTCGTCGTCGAGGTCCGACCCACGCGCGTACGCATGCAGGTTGCGCGCGAAGATGCTGCGTGGGGCATTTGCGTTCGGGGACGTGTTGAGTGCCGATCCGAACAGCTTCTGAATAAAGTACTCCTTCATATTCGACTTGGTCAACGACGGCGACGATGATGCTGCCGTGGACGACGATGGCTTCATGGCGCAGGTCCGAGTTCCCTTGCGCGCGTTGCCGTCAAATCCGCACTGCTCCTACCACCTCCATCTTCATCTGGGCACTGTGCAACGCGTGTCTTTGGTGGACTCAAGTCTATACTTTATCCTAGTATCACAACGTACGCATTGTTATCTGGGTGCGGTGTGTAATCCGTCACGACCGCGATTTCTCCCATACGATATACTGCACACACGAAACGTCGTATAGTAAAACCAAGCTAAACTTTCGTCCGAACCCGGAGTCCCGCCATCATGCGGCGCCCACGACCACGCGGGCGAGAACAGGATATCATGGCATAACTTGGCGCCATCACCCCCTCGCGCCCCTGACGCCATCTCTCCACCTTCGACCAACTTCGATATTCAGCAACCGCGGGGAGCACCGCTGGGCGAAGGAATGGCAGGAAAGGCTCTCTCACCAGCCGCGACCGCGCAGCCTCTTGATATGCGGTTGGGTCTGTCTAGGTCGATTGTCGTTGCTGCTTGTGGGCTGTGGGCGAGGGTGTGCTGGGCTCGATGCGCTGGATCTCCGCGCGCGAACTTGGTGCGGCTCATATGGGCGCGACTCCAAGAGAAATTGTATCATCGGGGCCTATGCTTTCATGAAGTGTTCGCGCGGCGCAACGCTCGGGTGAGCTGGCTTGTTGCGAGAGGACGATACGACAGAGAGTCGTCGCAGCCATCCGCGAGAACGGCACCTGGACACATGGCTATCATTTCGCCACCGTCGCCGCTCATGGCGCCGGCGCTGTGGCGCAGCGCGGAAAACTTGGCTCGAGCGACTGAAAGGCACGACAGACTCGATTGAAGTAGTTTTTTGCATTATATTTCACCTTGTTTGGCTTGAACAATCTATTGGGTGTCATCGGCTATTTTATTAATTTTCGTCGATACTATCTCGACGGGATTGTCCGGCGGCGAACACATGCCGACAAAGTGGACGCGGCAGCCTACTGTCGAAGCACGACGGCGAAGATCGACCGCGACCGCAGCAGCGACGCTCGTTGGGACAGGTCCAATTGGTGTGTCGGTTCGATCGTCTTGAATGTGGCGGCGGGCAGGCTGGGCGGCGCGCCTTCGAATGCCGCACGCGCACGTTACACCGGATTGAGAGGAGAAAGGCCTACGCCCGACGCGACGATCCACCACCGTCCTGGTGCGTACAGCAGAAAAGAGTCGCGAGCGTCGAAACGTGCATGACGGTACGACTGCGACGCCAGTACGATTACATCGACTGGACCAGCAAGCTCTCCGTCACCACGGTACGAACCGGGAGATGAAAACCTCCAGCATCTCGGGAAGTAGTGGGCAAGAGGATCATTGCTTCAAAGGTATTCACGTAGATCGAAGATTCAGCACAAACCGTGCGGTTCTCTTGGTCCACGGCGGCTCTTTGTGCTGGGATCAATGGGTGGAAGGAATGGCTCGGGGACACTAAAGATCTCTACGGGCTAGTGTGGTTCATGGACTTCAGTGGCAGGTTACCGAGCTGAGTCAGGGCTTCGCCCCCGTCCGCGTTGTGGAGCCGTCGATTGCGCAGGATCAGGCGCGGCGAACGAGAACACCTGATGGCTGATTCCTGGTTCGTGTTTGTGTCGATGTGCGTAATTACAACGTACACATTGCGCCATCGAGTTGATGGATTCCTGTCATCGTTGGAAGGGGACCAAGTGTCGCAGAAGGACACTGCGTTTCGTGGCTTGGACGATAAACCGACACATGAGAAGGAATACAATGGCATAGATGAGCATGCACACCTGCGCACAGGCGCGGGCAACCTGAGGCCGTACCCGAAAGCAGGGGCCAGCAGCGCTGCTAGCACGTGCATTCTCAACGCCGACCTCAGTGTTTGCTCGCCCTCCATATAGAAGATTTTACGAGGGAGTGATGCACATGCTGATATCCCCCTCTCGCTCGCTGTACAGTTGTTCCTCTGT